AGAGAGAGAGAGAGAGAGAGAGAGAGAGAGAGAGAGAGAGAGAGAGCATCACACAACGGCAGCAGCATCGCGTTAGGCCCTATATATATATATATATACATATGTATATATAGCATCCCGAGTTAAGGCAAGTGACTGATACAGAGGTAGCCAACGACTATAGTTTACCGTCTGTTAAACACGCAGAATCACACACAAACGAAGAAAGAAAACAAACTTAGCACAGCCGAAATATCGCTAAACGAGCTAATGTCATCATAGAACACATGAATGCGTCCTCAAACTACAAACAATGCATGCAATCAGCTAATTAGTATATCACTATCAACGCTTACTACGAAACCCACGAGACCGACGGCACAATCACAAGGCACCTGCGCTACGCAGTCGACGAGTTAATAACAAACACCTACAATAAACTACAATAAATACAAATTGATAAAACTCCGCACAAACACCTATATACAATTAGAGATCATATGTGGCAATGTTAAAGTGCACCCGCATTTCACGCGAGCGGTTTAAATCACGGGGCAATATGGCAAGAAAATGCAGCAACGCATTCGCGCGATTGCTCGAGTCTCAGTGCACAGGCCATGGCTTCCAAAACCTGTGTTTACCTCTCTGCTTTGAATAATACTGGTAGTAGGTACTGGCTAGGTAGACAGCCCAGACCACCTGCAGAAAAAATTACTACGAGATCTGCATCGTCTGATTGTGTCCTCGAAGATGTCCTATAACTTTCTAATGTAAACGTTCACAGGCTAAATAAGCATGCTATAAATGCTAAAACTGTTTACCAAAAAAATAAATAAACACATCTCCACTTTGCGTTCGTTATAACTTTCTTAGAATCGCCAGATTGTACGTGGAAGCCATCAAAGAAACCAGAAGAACATTAATCACTGTTTGGAAGTTGCAAAATAACATCGAGCTACCATAGTTGGCCTTTTGTTCGAGAAATGTGGCCAACTTCTTTTCCCCGATAGCCCCGCACTAGAAATCTCGCTTCATAGCAGATATCTCCCATTGTGTTTTCGCATGAATTCAGCACCTCACACCTCCACCCAACCCCCTACGAACCCACCCTTATGAACATATTAATATCGCGCAAACGTGTAGAAATTACGAGAAACACATCCCCTCTTTCCCACGCAAACGAGACCCTATCCGCCTCAACGCATAACAGGAATCCGACCCCCCCTCCTCCCCCGCGGACACTGCACAGAGATATGGAAGTTGGAAACAAGCGAGCGCTCCTTCGGCCGCCTTCCTATGACTCGGAGATGTTGGTCTGCGATCCGAACAACTTGACGAGCTGGTCTTCGTACAAGCTGACGTTTCGCTTCATCAGGTCCATGCAGGGTCCGAGCAGACGTTCAAACGCCTGCCGTTCCAGGTCTGAAACACACACGCGCGTGAGAACTAGTAAATATGTACACAGCACCATGTCAGCTGCCACCACTAGTAGAGGCAGCGTCAGCCGCGCACGGGTTAACTACGGTCAAACCCGTGTCAGCTGCCACAGCTAGTAGAGGCAGCGTCAGCCGCACACCGGTTAACTACGGTCAAACCCGTGTCAGCTGCCGCCGCTAGTAGAGGCAGCGTCAGCCGCGCACGGGTTAACTAAGGTCAAACCCGTGTCAGCTGCCGCCACTATAGAATTGACACCCAGTCATCAGTGAGTCAATAGAGGGCAGTTTTGGCATTTATTCCAATCTATTTTTTTCCCCAAGTCTCGCTGACAGATTGTTAAGAACAAGAGGAGGGTTGAGAATGTGAGCGTAACTCCTCCATGTTTGTAAGTAGCCAGCAGACCATTGAGAAGAGATGCCACTGCGTTGGCATCGCCCTTACGCTGCTATGTCGTATGTTGCATCTATACTTACAGGCAAGTTTGACGGCTTCCACCGAGGTGGCCGTGGCTGCACGAGGTTTCTGGGTGACTAGTGCTAGCTCTGTAACGAGTGAGGAATCGTATCACAATACAGCCACGGCATGACTTGACTCTCCCCAAGCAAGTGTTAGATGCAAACAGAAGATACGCGCTTGCTTCACTTGTACAGATAAATGTAAGCTGATCAAACGTAAGACATTGTAATTTGTGGGTGCAAACGAGATTTTGCAAGAGACGTGTAGTTCTATGAATGATAGCTGGCGCTAGTAGCGCTACTAACTGGTCCACGATTACAAGAAAAGGCTCACTGGTAATTGAACTTGCATGTTTTGGTGAATACGAAGGTTCTGATACATCTTATCATTACTCTAGACAGTTGCTGTTACTCAAGAAATAACGGTAGGTAATTAAACGGTCATACAAGTGGGGGAAAACACTAGACAATTCTCATAAATATGGCTTTAAGACATATGCACAGTAGAACGGAAGACCAGTGACGAAATCATAAAATGTAGGGGGAGAATACTCACCACCAAAGTATTGGCCTCTGCTTAGACGTGTCACCTCTTGATCTTCGTTGGCCTAAAGACATGGCAGGTGTTAATATAATATACCGCTGATACGTTTAGGGAAATAAATATCGTGCACGAAATAATATAGCAGGTCCACGTGTGTACACATGGCATCATGGTATGGAGACATTGGAGAGATATCATGTTTTTTGTCACCTATCCGTGATAATCGTGCATATTTAAACTGCAGGTTAAGCGTTTAACGAGGTCTTCACCACGTTTGTGCCCGTTGTGCGAGACTATTTCACGTACCTCGTTCCTGACACTGATACAGACGGTGCCACTCTCTATGAAGTACATGCCATCAGCCGAGTCACCCTGCATTGCACAGACGTGTCGCAACCATCAAAAACATTGAAATAATAGTCGGACAAAATGATGCATATTGTGTTATATAGTTCTTTCACTTCTAAACAAGTAATTTAGGCACAGCAACCACCAGAAACATTAATTAAAAGTTAAACAATACAACGCATCTTGGTTTGTCCAGTTCTAGTAATCTCTACACAAGAGATGAGTGGAACTGGAGAGAATTATTGCAGCATACTTAGAAAAAGGAAAATGTATATCTATGACTTTAAAGGCCATATTAAAATTTGGCTAGCACTGCACGTAGAGAACACACTCTCTTGACTGCAGAGTGATCGTTGAGACAAAAGAAAGCAGCACCTGTTTTATAATGGCTATGTCCTCGTCGAATGACAGTGGTTGTAGGGCATCAGCCAGGTTCATCCTCTCGTACTTCTGAAACATTGAAGTGAGAAGCCATCAGACAAGCAGCTGGTACATTGTCAGAAGTACTCAGTAGGTAACACTCGTGACAAGTTCCGACCATCCGCCGGTTTAACTCGCTCCGTACAGCGAGTGACAAGACTGTGCGCACGACAGAAGGGAGCACATTAAGAGAGGTCCACGACTCTCCCAGCTGCTCTACACATACAGTGCTCCAATCTCACCACAGCACCAAAGGCAAGTAGCATGGTTGCTCTCCTTACTCACTGTACTGCCTGCAAAAAATTGGCTGACACTCCCAGCAATATATGACCATGGCTGTCCTATCTAGTGTCCCTCCATGGTCATAAATTCGATTTTGTGTATATAGCCCTATTTGTCCACAACTAAAACTGTTGTAAAATGTAAGTAGTCTTGATAACCCTTTCTTGCAGGAAATAGTTGCCTTGGTGCCTAGCCAACTTACTAGGATACCCTGAAATTTTCGATTAAACCAAAGGCAACACTTAGTTACCTTGTCATAAAAAGAGCCGACACTTGGCACCTGACACAGATGTTACATATATACCGATACCTAGGTGACTATGAGGTTTCTACAGTAGCAGCACGTACCTCGAGTGTCTGCAGCATTGGCACACCTTCTAGCAGTGCTTCATACATCTTCCTCTTCTTGAAGGCGCTCTTCATTAATATTCGTCGGAATGTTGTGCGGTTCTGCAATGAACGGAAATGGGAATGGAGAAACTTACAGTGAAAGCCATACAAATGTGAAAGCTAGCAAATACAGACATGTCGAATATATATATAATATATCTTTAATGGATTAAGATATATATGTATACACAGGATATCATACCATGGCCCATAATGAGCCCTCGGAGGTGGCAACGATGGTTGCAGCCCGGGGCATATTGTACATGAGTGCCAGTTCTCCAAAACTGCCGCTACCAGCATATCCGCCCACACACTTGTCACCCACGTCCGTTTTCACAAAAATATCGTATGTGCCGCTAGAATGTATAGATATCATCAGCTATGGCAGTATAGCAGGATAAATAAATATGATACAATACGTGTAAAAATTTCTACAATAATCCAAATGATTAGTTTAATAAGTGACACATTACTTAATGCCAAAGATAAGCTTGATGTGATACATTTTCTATGCAAAACAAGCTGCAAATTATGAATGCTATTGAAGGAGAACTTCTCCAAGAATTAAAGGTCGCTTAGTGACTTACCTTTGAATGACATAAAAGTTGTCACCATCGTCACCTTGGTCAATAATGTGATCATCTGGTTTCACTTTCATGTCAAACATAGCATCCATAACCTCTTCCAGTTGTTCCTAATATAAAAATAAGTCAAGAATTAAAAAGCCATTATTTCGAAAATAATCTCCAACCAGTCTCGTGTTTTCCCCACTTTTACGATACTTTTAACGTTATTGCTTCAGTAACAGCAACTGTCTAGACAGTCTGCACGAAAAACCTGTAGAAATGTATAATTCACTGGCCCACACTAGGTTTTACAGGCCCGAATCAATGATCATCATATTATGAAAAGAGAAACCGAACCGGACCGGAAACCAGAAGTTGTTGCGACTTCTAGCGGCGACAAACACGCATGGTGTTGAGTAGTTACTTCCCCTACTTAAGATCGGGAATATGATGCCCTATCGATAAATATCGGTAAATTTTCATACAAAATATCGGGAATTTCGGTAAATTCTCAGACTGATCATCACATAAAGAAGCTGAAATATCATTATTATACCATTTACTCCATTTTTTTCCACTGGCCCATCAGCCTTGTTCATTTACCAGTTTCATTGGCCCCACAGAAAATTTACTGGCCTCGGATACCGGGCCAGTGGTTAATTTCGCAGACTGCTAGAGTGACGATAAAATGTCTTTGAACCTTCGTACTCAGCTATATTCACCAAAACATGCATGATTCCAATGTTGATTACTCGTTTTGACATCCGCCCCATTTCTTGCGAATCTGGGACTATCTCGCAATAGCGCAAAATATCGGCCAATTTAAAAATTGAAATTAAGTAAACTACACAGGATCAGATGCCCTTTTTGTTTGAATTAGCTGCACTTTAGGCACACTTGTTATGAAGACGCCATTTGCAAATTAATTGTCGCTATAATCAAATATGCCATGGTGTTACAGCATGTTCAATTCCAATTTTCTATGTTATAACATTATAAATTCTTAGTATTTTTCAAGTTGGTGTAATCAGTAACATCTGCTATTAGGTAAGACTACATTTCGCTATATTTTTTCTGGACTTTGCGTTTTTGAGCAATGATTTCGAAATTCTGACTTTAAAGCCTTTATTACGAGACTTTTTGCTCAGAAACGCCCAATCTGAAAAAATATAGCGAACTATAGTCTCACCTCACAGCGAATATATATAACTGATTACACCAACATTAAAAACACTAAGATTTTATATAGTTATAGCATAGAAAAATGGATTTGCACAACATCCTACCAGCTCCGCATATTATCGTGT